CGGTTATCTTTATTTTTATTTCTTGCAAACTACGAGACAAGAACTGAAAACGAAAGCTCTCAATATTATTGCCAGGTCTCCTTATCTGAGAAACTCATTATTGGTCAATGTTCCCCTTACTGTCTTATTTTGTTCTACACCAAAACTGTGCCTGTGTTTATATTGACAGACAGACAGACAGACAGACAGACAGACAGACAGACAGACAAACAGACAGACAGACAGACAGACAGACAGACTGACTGACTGACTGACAGAAAGACAGACATAGATTTTAGATCAGTTCCTACACTCAATTCATTCTTTTGTTTCAGCCTCATAATCGTCTCTTTCAATGACATTTACTGATGCTGATGCTAGCGTCTAATCAACGAGATGAGAGTGCTGTTTCGGCAGTACCCCAGTTTCAACAGTTATAGAGCTCAGAAAATGAACACCTTTCCAAAATACTTTGATGTCCTAGCCTCAATTTCTCAAGATTACCACAGCCTACTGCAATGGCATCGACATTCTTCAGCACATCACACGACAGTTCGAACATTGATAGGCACTAGTGGTGTAGGTATAGTGATGAAACATATCGTGAGAGTGATAATAGTGAAGAGGAAACTTTAGATGAGGATGAACTTGCTCCTCACCCCATTGCCAAAAAGAAAACTTCACCCATGAAGAAAGATAAAGAAATAGGTGACAATGACGGATATGCGCTTTTTTATTCTGCCTTTGAGAACCCACCATCAAATAAAGTGTCAGCAAAATAATTTACAAGGAAGTGCAAAAGCTATGGAGGCTGAAACAATATTCACAAAATCAGTGCAACACTGAGGTTTAGTACACAGCAGGATACTGTGTGACGGAGATGCCAAATATCATCAGATGGTCAATTTTTTATGGCATTTATGACTTTGAAATTGTAAAAGATGACTACACACATCGCATTAGCAAAAGTATGTTCAATGCACTTCAGAGCTTCCAAAACACCAACAACGAAGAGCTGAACAGAAAACTAACGAAGATTGAAAAACAGAGCAGTTACAAATGCCTCACAAAACCTGGACGTAACAGTTACTTGTGTTCATTAGTTTTAATTTTGTTTTTGTTCAGGAGCTGTTGGTTTCTTACCGAGCTCGAAACCTCTTTTGCACACAGACCCTGTAAGATTTTGAACATCTGTCAGTGAGGAACAGAGGCCACGAAACTGCCATGGTTTTGGGTGGCATGGGGTGGAATGAACAAAGTCGCTCTCGTGAGAATCACCGGATGCCTTGGTTTAGTGGACTACATCACGCAAGTGCTGGAGCTTCATGTCTTACCCTTATTTTCGTCAAGGTGTTATTCAAGTAGTCATCCCCACGCGAAACACGGCATTTTCTCATAGGGCCAATGCCATTACAGAATTCTTAAAAAAACAAATCAAGTCAACGTTCGAATAGTTAGCAGCAAACAGCCCCGATATTGAGTATGAGCCCTACAGGTATGTGAAGTCCCATGAAACAGCGGCTGAAGAAAAACGACTTTGCCCCCAATTCAGACCCTTTGTTTGCAACTCTCTGTGACATTTGAAATGAAATGACTGATAAATATGTCCAAAACTAAATAGAATTGATGCCTAAAGGTTTCGTGCACAACACAAAGCCAATGGCTCCTAAGCAAAATAACAATTAACACAATTAGTGTTGAGTCGAAGTTTTGTGTGGTATCTGTGATTGCTCTGTTTTCCGTTATGTTTGAAACTATCGTGACAAAATATTGTAATAAAATATTTTTTATTGCAAAGACACAATTCTCCATTCATTAGGCATTCAATATATCTCCATTCGATCAATATTGATACTCTTCAATAAATGCGCAAAGACAATTTTACTTTTCTTTGATTTCGCACAATTTTACCAAGCCATATTTTTTTAGGGTCAAATTTGAGTGACAATATCTCGGGCGTCTCTTAAAATAGATTAAATATTAAAGAGTCAGATGATGAAGAATTTATTTCGCTTTAAATTGGAATGCTGCATGAATGGGTAATGCAAGGCTTTAACACGATGACTGGGTGATTACATTTTCAAGTTTCTTTTGGACGCAACTGTATAACAGACAAGGTTTACTATTTACAGTAAGTTTTGCGCACGTCCAAACTTTTAGGAGTTTTCTCTCAAATTGGGCTCTTTCAGGGGGGGGGGGGGGGGTGGTATGGGGACACAAAAATCTATCAGGCGAAAAGTTGTTAAGATATCGTCATAATTTTCGGTATACTGATAGATGAAACATTATTCTAGTGTAATAAGTAGTGACGTCAGAAAAAATCTTGAATAAATGATTTTATTATAAATTTAATCCCTTGTTTGGATCTGAGATTGTTGTGGTCAAAATATTCCCATATTTAGGACCTCGATTCTGGGAAAGTTTTTCCTCCTACATCAAAAATGCAAAGTCCATCCTCTAAAACAGCCACGGAAGGCTGCAAAACCACTTATTATAACATTTAAAATCATTTATAACCTTATGATAGATTTTTTTTAAAAATGTGTGCATTTTCTATATATGACATTCCAATATGGCAGGCGTTACCTTAGCAACACAAAAGAATTTTCAAAATTTTACCTCATGACTTAATTCTCCACTCTATTTATATTGATGCTACCCAATGATGCTACCCCATTTGTAAGCTGAGTTTCTTCTTCATAACAAATTTCAAAATTTCCCCCGCCTCATGCCCTAAACCGGCAGTGGACGCCCCGTCTAAACGAAGCATGAGTGCCGTGAACGTAGCCTCAACAGCGCCTGCCAACTACATTCACGGCGCGATATTCCTATAGATCTAGTCTTAGTAGGTTAAAATTAGTTGGCCTCCAGGTAGTAGTCTAGACAAATATCGTGTAGTAGATAACCTTTGGTCTAGACGTCTGGGGATGTATACTTTATTATACATTTATTTTTTATGCCAGTCCGACCCGGAAGGGGTGGGAGCGAGGCGCTTCCTTGCGGCAATATGTTTATAGTTATAGACCAACGCTTGAACGCCTTAGGTGCGACCCTTTTCCGCCTACAGAAACGCGACCTTTCTGTGTAAGAGGCCGCTGGTCTTCACATAACTGGACAATTGAACTTTAAATTTTTTAAAAGAATTTTGCTTAATCCTTGCGCCTCATCCCCGACCTCTTTTCATTCAAACCCCACCGCCGTCCCTCCTCATCCACCCGCTTCCTCCTATGGCTCAAACTCCACACGGGGGCATTCGTAGCCTAGGCTAAGGTGTTCGCCTCTCATTCAAAATCAAAGGTGACAGGTTCGAATCTGGGTAGCGACCGAAAAATGTTCTCTAAAATATTGTCTCCTTTCACCTCATTTCCTGCTCTCTAGCAATGTTCTGTCGTGTGCTTTAGTCTCCACTTTCTGCCCCCCCCCCCCTCACCTCCTTTGTCCCCTCCTCTGGGCTCCCGACTCGTTTTGCAGCTTTTCTTACTACTGCTATTCATTGGCTCCTTACTGCTGTCTTTCAGCCACACTCCTAATCATCTGGTAGAAAAGATCTACACCTAGCCCTCTCGGAGGTCCTGTGTGCAAGTTGCGCACGCTAAAGATCCCTTGGTGGTCTTAAAATCGATAAGAGTAGGCTTCGGCCACCACCCGGTCAAAATTCAAAATTTCCTACCCAGTGAAAAATATTAAATGTGCCCCGCGCGCTCATGACCTTATGCAGCAAAAAGTAGATTCTAGATCTGCAACACCCCACATGTTGCTGACCCCATTCCAAATGTAACAATTAAATTTTAGTCTTGTTTGAGCTTGAGCATGTTTTGCAGCACAATCAACAA